GTAAGGAATACAAAAGTGCATCGAAGTAAAAAGTATGACAAAGAAACCCAGACCCCTTGGCTGCATCCGTACCGCACGCAGCAGACAACCAGCCACTGGAAGAAACCTGCTACGACACTTCACCGAAGACACAGGAATGAACAGGACGTGCGCAGAGGGCACAGGTCGGACTGCGTTCTCCTGCGTCTTCTCCAGGACCCGGGGTCACACTGGCCTCTCCAGCACCAAAGATTCTCCTAAAGCAGTACTGCAGGAGACCTCCTCCTCACGCCGGAGGAGACATTGAGACGTGGAGCACGGCAGCACGCATGGCCTCTGGCATCTGTAAGCTCGGGCACCTGACACTGGGGATGCCTCTGCTCTTCATGCACGTGCTGACTCTGTCAGGTCATCAACCTCTGCTTCCCAACGGCAAGATTAGGAAGTAATTCTAAGGTTCATGGAATTAAATATAGTACTAAGTATAATGATTGAATGACAGTTTAGTTTTATCAAGGCAAAATATGCCTAAGCACCTGATTTAGCTACATCTCGTCCTTCATTAAGCTAACTGTAATATCACATGTTTTAATGTCCCAAATGTTGGCAAGGATGTGGAGAAAGGGGAACCCTCCTACACTGTTGGTGCGAATGCAAAGCTGGGGCAGTCACTCTGGAAAACAGTATGGAGGTTCAAGATGTTGAAAATAGAGCTACCTTACAACCCAGCAATTGGGTATTTACCCCATTACTAAATACCCCAAATACATTGGGGTATTTACCCCAAAGATACAGATGTAGTGAAAAGAAGGGGCACCTGCCCCTCAATGTTTATAGCAGCAATGTCCACAATAGCCAAACTGTAGACAGAGCCCAAATGTCCATCGACAGACGAATGGATAAAGAAGACGTGGTCCATATACACAATGGAATATTACTCAGCCATCAGAAAGGATGAATACTTAACATTTACATCAATGTGGTTGGAACTAGAGGGCATTATACTGAGCCAAATAAGTCCGTCAGAGAAAGACAGTTATCATATGATCTCACTGAAACGAGGAACTTAAGAAACAAGGCAGAGAATCATAGGGGAAGAGAGGGAAAAAATCAAACAAGATGAAACCAGAGAGGGAGACAAACCATAAGACAAACCTCTTACCTCTAGGAAACAAATTGAGGGTTGCTGGAGGGGAGATGGGTAAGTGGGGGATGGGGTAACTGGGTGATGGGCAGTAAGGAGGGCACGTGATGTAACGTGCACTGGGTGTGATATAAGACTGACAGATCACTGAGCTGTACTACTGAAACTAATATGTTATATGCTAACTGACTTTAATTATAAATGAATAAATAAAGAGGAAGGGGAGGTTTGGCAGAAAGATACAGGATGCTGACACCAAAGGACAGAAACGGAAACAATTACATTACTGTTTCTCAACCAGATGAAAAAGTTTTCTAGCTAGAGCCCAAGGCTGGAAAGCACTGAACAAAAAAGCAGAAGACGCTTTGTTACGTAATACCCTCCTGTCCTGAAAACTGGATCTGTTGGAAAAACTGTTTTTTTTTCTTTTTTTAATTTCCTGACTTTGCAGACTATTGTTACTTGTGGTACTTAACACGGATTTAGGAATACGCGAATATTTTTAAAAGCAGATGACAATATGTTTAGAGAAAAACCACGTGTCCCCCTGAACTGGTTTTTGGAGCCACGCATGGAGTTATTAACGGCTGGCGGTCAACGCCACGAGGCAGCCTCGGAGCGCGAGCAGGAAGCCGCGCTGTGGCGGGAAGCGCACCTGAGACACGACGGGGTTGTGTGTGGGAGGTGCGGCTGACGGTTCTTCAGACACGTACCTCATCCTGCCCTCAGGTGTGAGCCCCTCTGCACCTCTGCCTCGGTGGGCCGCAGAGAAGCAAGGGGAACCTGGGCGGGTTTGTGGAGAGGAGGGTCTACAGACTTCCATGCTCACGCAGCTTCCCTGGAGGGGCTGACGAGGAGCTGGTCCCGCCGGCGGTCCCGAGGACAACCAGGCGCCGGCACACGTATGCTGCTCTAGTATGGGAGCTGACCTCAGGAGAACAACGCTGACTTAGAATGTCTTATGGCCAGACGCCCGACTGTGTGCAAACGCACCCGGGACACCCTCGGGGCGTGTGCTGGAGCATCGCTCTCACAGTGCTGTGTGTGCGAACGTGTGCATGTGCACATGCGTGTACACAGGTGTACCAACTGCGGGGATAAAGCAAAACATGCAAGAAATTTCAACTACAAATGTGAGAACAAGAAGCGCCAGGAACTGACTTCCAGCAATGTGTTTTCTGTCCCAACCCGTCTGCGTTTCTTTTTTTTTTTTTTAATTTTTTTTTAAAGATTTATTTATTTATTTATTTGACAGAGAGAGACACAGCGAGAGAGGGAACACAAGCAGGGGGAGTGGGAGAGGGAGAAGCAGGCTTCCCGCCGAGCAGGGAAACTGATGCGGGGCTCGATCCCAGGACCCCAGGATCATGACCTGAGCCGAAGGCAGACGCTTAATGACTGAGCCACCCAGGCACCCCTGTATTTTCAATGTATAAAAGTTACTTGTGTAATGATCCAAATCAGGGACTGGCAAACTATGGCTAAGGGCCAAATCCAGCCCACCAGAGACTTTTGTAAATAAAGTTTTGTTGGAACACAGTCATCTCATTTGTTTACATATTGTCTATCACTGCTCTCACACTACAGTAGCAGAGCTGAGTAGTCATAAGAGATCATATGGCCACAAAGTCTAAAATATTTACTATCTGGCTCTATACAGAAAAAGTCTGACAACTCCTACTGTAAATTATTAGAAAAGAAAGCACTTTTTACTGCTGTCATTAAAAAATATATATACTGAAGAAAATCAGTATGTCCATGATTTGTATTCAGCATCCTACTTTTTCTTATTTCTTTGGTGATTCTTCTACTTGATGGTATTCATTCAAACCCACTCTTATCCCCAGGCTGACCTCATCAAAGATTTCTAGCTCTCCTCTTTAGCATCTTCTGTTATAGTTAGCAATAAGTCCCTACTGACCTGGTCAAATAATAATGTAAACAGTTTCATAAATTAAAAGAAAAAAAAGACATAAAATGGTAGAAAAGTAACCAAAATTCATAAAGTTTGGGCATGGGGAAGCTGGGGGGAAGTTGTTAATAACTGAGAATGTGGAAAGGAATGGATGACAATGTGATTAAAACAACCAGATAAGTGTTTTAGGAAGAATAAAAGAAACAAACCAAAAAAAAAAAAAAAAGCAAATAAAGTAAATAGTAAAATAAAACTATTTAAAAAATAGAGGAAATTAGCACACTTAAGAAGTACAAAATCTTTTAGCATCTATCCTTTAAGAAAGTCTTCTATTTACCTATCCAAACAGGCAAATAGTCCAGATTTTCCTCCTACGGCACAAAGTACTTTGGGAGCACAGCGAGGTCGTGTCATCAGGACAGTCTGATGAGACAGTCTATGTTCAGGCATAAAGTGGTATTTTAGGGCTTCATTCAAAAGATGTTTACAAGTGCGATCATCACGAATAAGATGATTTGCTTCATATAGTCTAGTGAGAAACTTAACACTCAGCAATGGTAATCTCACACTATTAAGTAGCTGTGCTAAGTATTTCTGACGTTCTTGTACATCATACTTGATCCAAGACTCAAGGGCATAAAAAATAGTCTCTTCGGTAGCTACATTCAAACAGTCATTGGAAACAATTTCATCCAAATCAGCATGTGTAAGCTCAAAAAACTCTTCAGTCTGGCAAACAGCTTCAAAATTCTGGCATATGTATTTAGTAGCTGCCAAATAAAGGTCATGACAACCATATGTCTCTGCAAAACGAGAAATTCCAATACAATTACCAGGATCAAGCTGGCTTTCAAGAAATGCACAACATTCCTTCAGGACAAGTTTTATCTGGAGTAGGTTTGCTGCTGGAAGGAGAGATTCAACTGTGTCCTGTGAAATAAAAACAGTTCCTGTATAGGCATACTCCACGATGGCCTGGAGAGCAGCTTCATCAACGCACTGAAACTCAACCTCACTGTTCTCTTTTTCAGAAAGGTTTCCAGTGAACATAGCTTTGAAATATGGGCTGATGCTGGCAAGTACCACTTTGTGAGCATGGATTTTAACATCCCCAACTCGAAGAATGATGTCACAGAGTTCGTGATGTTGACGAAGAAGATTCAAGCCCTGCAGAAGTTGTTCTGAATGTAGGTGGGTTAAGTTAGCAAGCCTGTAGGTTGGGGACATGTGGTCCATCTGAGTCCCAGGAATCACGCCGGCAACAACAGGAGGAGGAGTCGTGGACCACTGGAGTCGGGGTAGGATACTCACTCGTCCCCGTCTGCGTTTCTTAAGGGAAATGTCCAACATACCCCAAAGTGGACAGAATGGCATCATGGAAAGTGGCGAATGGAGGCCTCACATCAGCAAGGACCACCTCAGGGCCACGCTCCTGGGACCTGCCACTTCCTGCCTGAGCGTGTCAGCTATTAACAACAGAAGGGGCTGCTACAATAAATGTAACCCCCATGTTATCACAGCAACAAACAGCAGTAGCTCCTCAGCATCAGATAACAAGGCCAGGCCTGGTTCCTGTTGTGTTTCTACACTGTTTGCTTGAGTGTGGGTCCAGGTGAAGCCTCCTGAGCCCAAGGCCACAGTCTTCTCTGCTCGCTCGTTCTTCCCTGTAAATGAACTTGCTCCAGTGTGTTCGCTATGGTCTGGACTTGGGTGCTGATGGGCCTCTGGGCTCTGCAGACACTCTGTGCAGAGGCAGAGCCCCTCTGTCAGAGGCACACCCGCCCGCCTCTTCCTGTGCCAACGATCAGGTCCTATGCCCATCAACCCACCACAGCTTGAGGGTGGCATCTCTCTGAGTCACATGGTAGATGGTTTACTTAGAGTATCTTGCTCCCAAGACTACTGAAGACGAGCGTTCTGGCATTTCCAAAAGCAATACTCCATGTGGACAGCAAGTATTTTCCAAAACCAAAGGCACATCATGATTACTGCTCCAATCACAGACTGTTTCTAGACAGCAAATCTGGAGCTGTAGAGTGACTGCTATTTTATTTTATTTTTTATTTATTTATTTTTAAAGATTTATTTATTTGAGAGAGCAAGAATGAGAGAGAGAGAGAACATGAGAGGGGGGAGGGTTAGAGGAAGAAGCAGGCTCCTCGCTGAGCAGGGAGCCCGATGCGGGACTCGATCCCGGGACTCCAGGATCATGACCTGAGCCGAAGGCAGTCGCTTAACCAACTGAGCCACCCAGGTGCCCCGAGTGACTGCTACCTTAATACACTGCTTTAGCTCACTGTCCTCAGTCAGCCTGGTGATAGCATTTCAAGTTCTGAGATGAAAACTCCAACTACGCAGTTACGTTTGCTTCCTGCTGCCGTTTGGAGAACTCTCTAGAGTAATGCACAAAGACCCCTTGAAATTATGGGAGGCCACAGAGTTCCCATAGACACATACAAGCACATGCTAAAATAGTAAATACACTGTTGCATTTAAAAATTTAGTTTAAAATAATTAAAAGATAACATATCCAGATTTAAACTATTTCTTTCTTCTTTTGGGCTTTGTTTACATTTATTTTTTATTTTATTTTTTGGGTTATGTTTATAAAGCTTTTTATTTTATTTTTTTTATAAAGATTTTTTATTTATTTATTTATTTATTGAGAGCAAATGGTAGAGAGAGAGCATGAGAGGAAGGAAGGTCAGAGGGAAAAGCCGACTCCCCGCTGAGCAGGGAGCCCGATGTGGGACTCGATCCCGGGACTCCAGGATCATGACCTGAGCTGAAGGCAGTCGCTTAACCAACTGAGCCACCCAGGTGCCCTATAAAGCTTTCTATTAAGATAGATACCTAGAAGTTCTTTATTCTGGTGCTTCATGGAGCCAAAGAGAATGAAACAAAAGACAAGTTTAGAGTAGTTTCTGAAAACTCAGCAGTTTAA